ATTCTGTGCTCCTGTTATGCAGGGTCAAGGAATTCCACCACCTACTGCTCCAGGTAATGTTTATGTGTGAATGATGACGATGGTAGCCTATCCAATGCTTGAATACCATTGCCGTCCCATCAATAAAACTATTGATTTAGAAACAGAATATATATATATACTGCATTGTTTGTCAACATGTGTGAGTTATTGACGGGTTGTTGATTATCCACAGCGCCATGGCAACCTGGGTCAGGAGGGCCGCCTGCCCAAGGAGCCAACAATCCAGACGACTGTGTGGACGAAGATTCGTGTAGAACCGCGCCAACAGCACCACCGATGGATCCATCTCTGCTACCTAAGCTTCCTGGATACGAGTCTGTGAATGATGGAGGAGGCAAGTTGTACCACTACTCCTAATCATTGCAGAGCAAATATAGATATGCTATGACAGTGTTTCCTCTGGGAAAAATGTACATGAGGTAACACGGTGGAAACTGGGGGATAATTTTTGTTCTCAAAAAATGATGCAGTTTGGTACCACTAAGCCACTATAAACCACAAAACCGCCATAGTAGTAAATAAACCACTATAGAGTAACTAACTAAACTTCAGTACAATATAGAGACATTTCTCATTTGTAAGAAAGTAAGCATGATCTAATTTAGATATTTAAATTTATTTCACACAGAATTTAATCAATGAATTTGTTTGTTAAAATAAATAGTTTAGTTTGGGTTAGGGAAAAAAATTTGTCTAAATAATAGATCTAATATACATATACAGGGTGCAATTTTCTGCCCATAAAACCATTCTCTATGTGGCGTTTATATCTATGTGTGTATTTACAGACATTGCCCCACCGCCAAGCTATGGAGAGGCCACTGGTACAAAGGAACCCACTATGGCCGATTACAAAGAGTATGTATCTATAGATAGATATTTTTTATTATTATTTTATTATTATTATTATTATATTGTTGTATTTATTATAAGTGGTTGCCGGGTGGTGTGTAACAAATCTCTTGGTCTTAGTTGGAATTTTGAAGTAGAGGGTGCGTAAACTAATGTTATATGTGTTTCTCACAGTATAGCATACCATGATGTTAAAGTTGCTTTATCAATGCATCAATTAGCTTACATAAACATTGTGATAATAGTTTCATCGCATCTTGTATACTCAGATTCATGTATAATTAGCATCTGTCCATTCATCCAACTATACCGGACCAATTTAAAAGGGTTTACCTCGATTATTCTCATCTATGGTGTAGAAATAAAATCTAGAAAGACATCTTTCCTAAAGTAGATTCCACTTGTCAAAAACAAATTTCTATATTACGCTCGACTTCAGCATTGAGACTGGCATCGTTAATCCGCATAATAATGTCAGAACTTTTGTCGTTGTTAATTGCTTCTGATATCTGCTGATGAGTGCTTCTTGTATTTGTTAAAAAGAATATTAACGACGATGCTGCGATGTATTCGCTCTATCATCTTGCCTGAACCGTGGTAATGGCCAGTTTCCTCAATTGACAGTATTGGCCAGTTGAATGAGGAAGACGTGAGAGAAGCACTGCTTAGCTACATCGCTCAGAATTGCTGCTACGGCAAGGGCACCGCACGAGATATGAGGATCAATGAAATCAAGCTCACCAGTGGCTTGCATGTGGGTGCATCTCATTTCTCTAGCGACTGCAACGTTGACGTAATTTGAGACTCGTTTTACTTTCGTGCTCAAACTGAAAGGTATACGTGGAGAGAATGGCGGTGAAATCGTCTCCGTGTGAAATATCTACTAATTAAATAAATAAAAATTTAATTAAAAATTTAATTAAATTAAAAAATTAAAAATAAAATAAAATAATTACTTCTTCATCCCGTGGCCATGGCAACTGATGGCAGTGACTGCTTTCGCTGCTGCTGGTAGAGTGCATGCCACGTCCGGATCCCCTACATGGAGGAGCCACCGTTGCAGCCGCGACCCATGCACTGATGACATGGGTTGTAGCGCATTCGCGTGACACAGGTGCCACGGCTACGTAAAACGAACACGGGTTATTCGACCGCGAATATGCGGTTTGTTTTGCGTCCGAGAAGATAAGGGAATTTTGATGAGTCACACACTTGGCACACGCTACGTGAAACGAACACGAGTTATTCGACCAGGGAATATGCGGTTTGTTTTGCGCCGGAGATGATAAATGCAT